AAAAGATCTATATGCTGCTTACAAGAGACTCACCTCAAACCCAAAGACATGCACAGATTAAAAGTCAAGGGATGGAAAAAGATATTTCATGCAAACAACAGAAAGAAAAAAGCAGGTGTTGCAATACTAGTATCAGACAAAATAGACTTCAAAAGAAATAAAGTAACAAGAGATAAAGAAGGACATTACATAATGATAAAGGGCTCAGTCCAACAAGAGGATATAACCATTATAAACATATATGCACCCAATACAGGAGCAACAATATATGTGAAACAAATACTAACAGAATTAAAGAAGGAAATATAAGCAATGCATTCATTTTGGGAGACTTTAACACACCACTCACTCCAAAGGACAGATCCCCCAGACAGAAAATAAGTAAGGACACAGAGGCACTGAACAACACACTAGAACTGATGGACCTAATAGACATCTATGGAACTCTACATCCAAAAGCAACAGGATACACATTCTTCTCGAGTACACATGGAACGTTCTCCAGAATAGACCACATACTAGGCCACAAAAAGAGCCTCAGTAAATTCCAAAACATTGAAATACCACCAACCAACTTTTCAGACCACAGAGGTATAAAACTAGAAATAAATTGTACAAAGAAATAAAAAACACATGGAGGCTTAACAACATGCTCCTAAATAATCAATGGATCAATGACCGAATTAAAATGGAGATCCAGCAATATATGGAAACAAATGACAACAACAACACAAAGCCCCAACTTCTGTGGGATGCAGCAAAAGCAGTCTTAAGAGGAAAGTATATAGCAATCCAGGCATATTTAAAGAAGGAAGAACAATCCCAAATGAATAGTCTAATGTCACAATTATCGAAATTGGGAAAAGAAGAACAAATGAGGCTTAAGGTCAGCAGACGGAGGTACATAATAAAGATCAGAGAAGAAAGAAATAAAATTGAGAAGAATAAAACAGTAGAAAAAATCAGTGAAACCAAGAGCTGGTTCTTTGAGCAAATGAACAAAATAGATAAGCCTCTAGCCAGACTTATTAAGAGAAAAAGAAAATCAACACACATCAACAGGATCAGAAATGAGAACTGAAAAATCATGACAGACCCCACAGAAATGCAAAGAATCATTAGAGAATGCTATGAAAACCTATATGCTAACAAGCTGGAAAACTAGAAAAAATGAATAACTTTCTAGAAAAATACAACCTTCCAAGACTGACCAAGGAAGAAACAGAAAATCAAAACAGACCAATTACCAGCAACAAAATTGAAGCAGTAATCAAAAAACTACTCAAGAACAAAACCCCCAGGCCAGATGGATTTACCTTAGAATTTTATCAGACATACAGAGAAGACATAATATCCATTCTCCTTAAAGTTTTCCAAAAAATAGAAGAGGAGGGAATACTCCCAAACTCATTCTATGAAGCCAACATCACCCTAATACCAAAACCAGGCAAAGACCCCACCAAAAAAGAAAATTACAGACCAATATCCCTGATGAATGTAGATGCAAAAATACTCAATAAAATATTAGCAAACAGAATTCAACAGTATATCAAAAGGATCATACACCATGACCAAGTGGGGTTCATCCCAGGGATGCAAGGATGGTACAACATTCGAAAATCCATCAACATCATCCACCACATCAACAAAAAGAAAGACAAAAACCACATGATCATCTCCATAGATGCTGAAAAAGCATTTGACAAAATTCAACATCCATTCATGATAAAAACTCTCAGCAAAATGGGAATAGAGGGCAAGTACCTCAACATAATAAAGGCCATATATGATAAACCCACAGCCAGCATTATACTGAACAGCGAGAAGCTGAAAGCATTTCCACTGAGATCGGGAACCAGACAGGGATGCCCACTCTCCCCACTGTTATTTAACATAGTACTGGAGGTCCTAGCCACGGCAATCAGACAAAACAAAGAAATACAAGGAATCCAGATTGGTAAAGAAGAAGTTAAACTGTCACTATTTGCAGATGACATGATACTGTACATAAAAAACCCTAAAGACTCCACTCCAAAACTACTAGAACTAATATCTGAATTCAGCAAAGTTGCAGGATACAAAATTAATACACAGAAATCTGTTGCTTTCCTATACACTAACAATGAACTAGCAGAAAGAGAAATCAGGAAAACAATTCCATTCACAATTGCATCAAAAAGAATAAAATACTTAGGAATAAACCTAACCAAGGAAGTGAAAGACCTATACCCTGAAAACTACAAGACACTCTTAAGAGAAATTAAAGAGGACACTAACAAATGGAAACTCATCCCATGCTCCTGGCTAGGAAGAATTAATATCATCAAAATGGCCATCCTGCCCAAAGCAATATACAGATTCAATGCAATCCCTATCAAATTAGCAACAGCATTCTTCAACGAACTGGAACATATAGTTCTAAAATTCATATGGAACCACCAAAGACCCCGAATAGCCAAAGCAATCCTGAGAAGGAAGAATAAAGTGGGGGGAATCTCGCTCCCCAACTTCAAGCTCTACTACAAAGCCACAGTAATCAAGACAATTTGGTACTGGCATAAGAACAGAGCCACAGACCAGTGGAACAGAATAGAGACTCCAAACATTAACCCAAGCATATATGGTCAATTAATATACAATAAAGGAGCCATGGATATACAATGGGGAAATGACAGCCTCTTCAACAGCTGGTGTTGGCAAAACTGGACAGCTACAACATGTAAGAGAATGAAACTGGATTACTGTCTAACTCCATACACAAAAGTAAACTCGGAATGGATCAAAGACCTGAATGTAAGTCATGAAACCATAAAATCTTAGAAGAAAATATAGTCAAAACTCACTTGAATATAGACATGAGCAACTTCTTCATGAACATATCTCCCTGGGCAAGGGAAACAAAAGCAGAAATGAACAAGTGAGACTATATCAAACTGAAAAGCTTCTGTACAGCAAAGGACACCATCAATAGAACAAAAAGGCATCATACAGAATGGGAGAATATATGCATAAATGACACATCCGATAAGGGGTGACATCCAAAATATACAAAGAGCTCACGCACCTCAACAAACAAAAAGCAAATAACCCAATTAAAAAATGGGTGGAGGAGCTGAACAGACACTTCTCTAAAGAAGAAATTCAGATGGCCAACAGACACATGAAAAGATGCTCCACATCGCTTGTCATCAGAGAAATGCAAATTAAAACCATAGTGAGATATCACCTCACACCAGTAAGGATCGCCATCATCGAAAAGACAAACAACAACAAATGTTGGTGAAGTTGTGGAGAAATGGGAACCCTCCTACACTGCTGCTGGGAATGTAAATTAGTTCAACCATTGTGGAAGCAGTATGGAGGTTCTTCAGAATGCTCAAAATAGAAATGCCATTTGACCCAGGAATTCCACTTCTAGGAATTTACCCTAAGAATGCAGCACTCCAGTTTGAAAAAGACTGATGAACCCCTATGTTTATTGCTGCACTATTTACTATAGCCAAGATATGGAAGCAACCTCAGTGTCCATCAGTAGATGAATGGATAAAGAAGAAGTGGTACATATACACAATGGAATATTAGTCAGCCATAAGAAAAAAACAGATCCTACCATTTGCAACAACATGGATGGAGCTGGAGGACATTATGCTCAGTGAAGTAAGCCAGGCGGAGAAAGACAAGTACCAAATGATTTCAGTCATATTTGGAGTATAAGAATAAAGGAAAACTGAAGGAACGAAACAGCAGCAGAATCACAGAACCCAAGAATAGACTAACAGTTACCAAAGGGAAAGGGACTGGGGAGGATGGGTGGGAAGGGAGGGATAAGGGCGGAGAAAAAGGGGGTATTACAATTAGCATGTATAGTGTGGGTGGGGTACGGGGAGGGCTGTGCAACACAGAGAAGACAAGTAGTGATTTTACAACATCTTACTACGCTGATGGACAGTGACTGTGAAGGGGTATATGGGGGGGGCATGGTGAAGGGGGGACGTGGTGAGGTAAACATAATGTTATTCATGTAATTGTAGATTAATGATACCAAAAAAAAAGAAGAAGAAAGGTATCATGCAGTATTTTAGCACTCTAAAAATCTCATACTTTTTTCCAGTCTGCCTTTATCTTTAGGCATATGTCCATACCTTTTATTGTCTTTTATTCTTCTCTGATTATCTTTTGCTACATTTTATTTTCATCAGAATACATCCATCTTAAGTCAGATATTTAGTACTTAATTTCTTTTCCTCTGCAGTAAGAAAGTAACAATGCTTTATGACTTGTAAAGCGTTTTCATATAAAATCTTATTTTAATCCCATTTTACAGATTTTAAAAAATGGTGACATGAATACTTGAATCATTTGTCAGGACAGTAACTGCAGAACTAGTGCTAGGGATGCTGCTTTTGGAAGGTACTTAATAAGTGCTCCTTGACTTGGCTGAATGTATCAAATACAAACATATCATTGGCTTAGAATTTCAGGGCATTTTGCCACTGTATTCATTTCCTAGGGCTACTGTAACAAATACCCAATACTGGGTGGCATAAAACAACAGAAGTATATTTTCTCAGTTTGAAGGTTAGAATTCCAAAATCAAGGATTAGGCCCTCCTTGGGTCCTCAGAGAGTCTGTCCCATCCCCTCGCAGCTCCGAGCGGTTCCCAGCAATCCTCAGTGTTTATTCCTTGGCTCGCAGCTGCATCATTCTGGTCTCTGCCTCTTCAGGGCTGCTTCCCCCTGTGTTTGTCTTTCTGTGTGTCTGTTTCCATTGTCTTTTCTTCTCTTCTTATAAGGACTCCAGTCATACTGGATTAAGGGCCCACCCTACTCCAGCAAGACCTCATCTCAAGTACATCTTAGTTACATCTGCAAAGACCTATTTCCAAATAAGGCCACATTCATGGGTACCAAAGGTTAGGACTTCAACGTACCTTTTGGAGGACACAATTTAACCCATAGCAGCCACTGATGGGATTCTCTTCTGTTTTCCGTCCACCTCAGGAGCCCTCATATACCATGGCCCTGGTGTCTGCTGATTCCCGCATTGCAGAACTTCTCACAGAACTCCATCAGCTGATCAAACAAACCCAGGTAAAAAGCCAAAGTTCTCCACTCCAGGGAAGCACGGGCTCTGATGCCAAGCTGTGGAGGGGTGGAGAGCGTGTGTTCAGAGAGACTGGACCTGCAGCAACCAAGACGGCAAGAGAAGGAGGGGAATGTTGGGTATGATTACTATTCCTGCTGGATTTTCTATCATGTGCAGGATTTTGTGATTCTTTTTAATAACAGCTATATTGAGATGTAATGTGATTCACCAGTTTAAAGTGTACAGTTACACAATTCAGTGGGTTTTAATATAATCAAAGAATTATGCAACCATCAAACCATGATCAATTTCAGAACATTTTATCACCTGAAAAAATGCCCCATACCTACTAGTGGTCACTCCCCTTTTCCTCCCATTCCCCTTTTTCCCCTACTCCCTGTCTCAGGTAAACAAAGATTCTCTTATCAGGCAAGATATTCCAAGAATTTAGAGGTTATTTCCCAGGAGCTGGTCAAGGGCCAAACTTTTGTGGAATATGCAGGCTCTGAAAACCCAGGCCTGCTGAGTTAATCTTTTACAGCACAGGTCACCTCTCACCCAGCCTTGGTCCTGGTTCAAGCAAAACAGTCTTTTGTGTCTGAGCACCTACATTCCAGCATAGCTTTCATATCATAACTACAGCGATACTACCAGTATGAATATGCTTCACAGCTGGGGGAGCCAGTGTGGGGCGGAGACATACTTAAAGCAACAGCCAATCTGTCCTACTGAGCCATTGCGTTCATATTCATGTTTTTACACTGATTTCATGACCAGTTTCCCCCTTCTACTCATTTGAACTTAATGACAAATTTGTGTAGAACTGTTTAGGATAGATTAGCTGATAGTTAGCTAAATCCAGTTCTTCCTTAATATTACAAGCTGAAGAGGCTTTGACTCAGTCTCCCAATAAATACTCAGTCATCTATGTCATTTTTATCGTGTGACTTATTTACATAAGGTACTGGAATCTTACCAAGAGTGCCAGTGTGTCATACCATATTGCACTGTGTTAATGGTAGAATTCAGTTTCATTATAGAACAAATTAGTAAGAATTACAGAACTATTTGCTATGCCTTTCCAATAGAATTTGCCCTTCCATTTGCTGGATATTATGGACAGGCTTTATTACAGTTAGCCATAATTCATCTTTTTCTGGGTTCCAAGTCAGCTGGGGAGAAAGCTGGTCACCCTGTCTCAGCTTAGGCTCATACTGAGCCTAGTTTCCATTGTGCGTTCTTGTATAGCAGAGCCCACCTCCCACCTACTTGGAGGAGGACACTGGTGGTATTCAAAGAGCCCTATCTCTTCTAAAAGCATGTCAGGATATTTGATGTGTTTTTGAGTGAAGGGTAGTCATTGTGTACTGTTGTGAATTACAGGTGTCTCAGTGGGCTTGCTTAGGTTTGGATGCCCACCAATCCTATAGATGTGTCCTTGGGGTTCAGCAGCTAGGAGGGAGGGCTATTGCTGCATGGCTACTTCAGCCTCCATCTCTATTAAAATAGTCAAGAGGCCCTGGTGGGTCAGGGTGCATGGGATATTTAGGGAGGTGAAATTATTCTATATGATACCATAATAGTAGAGACATGACATTATCTGTACAACAGAAAGAGTGAACTGTACTGCAAAATGTGGACTTTAGTTAATAATAATGTATCAATATTGGTTCATTAATTGTAACAAATGCAAGATGTTAATAATAACCAAAACTGTAAGATGTTAATTACTTGTACTAATGCAAGAAGTTAACAAGTGAAGCTGGGTGCAGGGAAAGCAGTTATATGAGAACTCTGTCTACTACCTGCTCAGTATTCCTGTAAACCTAAAAGTCCTCTAAAAATAGTTTATGAATAAAAATTAAAAATACGAAAAAGATACTGGCACGTTACTAGAATGCCATTCAGTCATCATAGTCAGTCTAGTTTATCATCATAGTATATAACCGGGATGTCTCCTAGAGGGAGGCCATTCAGGTTTGTGGGCTTCTGTTTGGCTTTGCAGGTGCTGAAAGCAGGGGTGGTCTCGGCAAACATGACTTCACCCTTTGGAGCATCTGGTAACTGAGTGAAGAGCCAGTATTCTCTTGCTTTGAGCCTCTCTTGCATTAGTAATATAATGCTGTATTTCCCTCAGTGGAAAACCCATTTATTAATTCTTTTACCCTTTGGCTACTATTTTTCCTTCTCTCCATTTATCATTGATTTTTACCCAAATTCTTCTACCCTTGGAGGGATGTGTTAGGCTCAGCCACTGTGCTGGTCCAGATTGCCAGCAGCAATACTAGGCCTCCACTCAGTCCACTCCCATTTGTGTAGGAAGAGCTACAAGGGCTAATGCCTGTACCTTCAGGCACTTAGAAATTCTGACATAAAGGTTCAAAGGGATAGTTACAATTGCTTCCTTAGGAATCATCCCTGCTTCTGGCATCTTCAGTTGCAACCCTGATCCCAGGACCACTGATGTGGGGAAGAACAGTACCAGCATCCTTCCCCACAATCTCTTCCCAGGTGAATTGATGTATGTGTTAATTTCTGGACTCACAGTTCCATTCCATTGACATATATGCTCGTACCACACTGTTTGATTACTGTAGTGAATTTTGAAATCAGGAAATGTGATTTTCATTGTTTTTTTCTTTTTCCAGTTTGTTTTAGCTATTCTGGTTCCCTTGAATTTCCATATGAATTTTAGAATGAGTTTGTCAATTTCTGCAAAGAAGTCAGCTGGAATTTGGTTGGGGGTTGCATTAAATCTGTAGATCAGTTTGTCTCTTTTTGATAAAGGAGAGTCATTATGTATAACTTATGATTTAACTTTATACCTTTTATAATGCTTTTGTATTAGAGAATAAAATCCTTTTGAACTTACCCTGAATGTGGATTTAGAAAATGAGGGCTATGTTTGGGGGCCTCTGCATGGATGCAGGGCCACAGCAGGGTGGGGGCTGCCTTCATGGCTTATTGACCTCATCTTTGCAGGAAGAGCGTTCACGGAGTGAACACAACCTAGTGAACATCCAGAAGACCCATGAGCGGATGCAGACAGAGAACAAGAGTGAGTAGCTGGACTCAGGAGAAAAAGGGGATGAGTGGGGGTTACAGGCCAAGACAGGGAACATGGCTCTTACCATTTTCAAAGGGACTTTTGCATGGATCTGCACCATCCAAATGCCCCTTAGCCAGAGGGACAGTTTTCCCTTAGGCTGGGTGACCTAAGGTGAGCCAGGAGACAGATGACAGACTGTTTAGCACTAACGAACCTTAAAATCCCCCAACTCTAGCAACTGGAAAGTCAGTGAAATGAGGCTGCATCCCGGGAGACTGCTTAGAGCACACAGACGCCCCCATTAGCCGGTGTCTCCTAGAAGAGAGCTCCCTCCCAGTGGGCCCTGCACATGACCCAAGGCCCTCAGGTGGTCTGGCTCCTGGGCTGGTACTTCCAGCTCTGAGCAGCTTCAAGAATTTTTTTTCTGTTTTCCCATGTGCTGAGAAATAATTTATGCCTGCTTTATGCTATGGCAAAGGTTAAAAGGTCCTCTCTTAGGTGCAGGGATGGCATTCATACTGTATGAAATGTGAGCCTACTGAACATGGGTGTTAGCCTCAGGGAGCACTTCTGAGCCAATAAAGCTCATACCTTGGCTCATGACCTCTCTGTTCCTCTAAAAGACTAATTTCAGTGTACTGGAAGTAGTGCCACATGGCTGCCTGCTGCCCCATGCCCATGCCTTTCTCCCTGTGTTTACCCTGCAGTCTCTCCCTATTATCGGACAAAGCTGCGTGGCCTCTATACAACTGCCAAGGCCGATGCAGAGGCCGAGTGCAAGTGAGTACCATCCCACCACCCAGCCATTGCCTCCCAGCCTGCCTTTCCTGCCATGGATAAGCAGACTCTTCCCCAGCCTCTCCTTTGGTACCTACCTTCCCTGCAGCCCAGTTCTAACCCCACTCTTCCCCGAGCCCTGCCATTTTATAGATGGCAGCAAGGTGCAGGGGCAAATCCCAGTGCTGCCATTTACTAGTCATGTGACCTTCAGCAGTCACTTCAGCTGAGACTCAGTTGCTGCATCACCAAAACTGGGGAAATAACTACCTACAGAGTTGTCAAGATAAAGTGAGGTCATGCATACAAAGCACCTAAGACCAATGTTTTTCAAGCTCTACCATAACTCATGGTAGAAAATATATTCTCTATTGTGACATAATACTAATAATATTAGTAATAAAGACTTTTATGTATCCCTACTGTGTGCCAGGTATTATTTCAAATACTTGGTATATTTACCTCATTTAATCCTCAGAGAAACCCTAAAATGGGTTACCCTCAATTTTCAGGTGAGGAAACTGACATAGAGGGGTTGTATAATCTGCCAAAGGCCATGCAACTCGTAAGTGAAGGAGTCCAATTTTAAACCCCAAGTCCATATTCTTTTTGTTTTCCATTTTTATTGAGGAATAATTTTTACATCAGTAACTTTTAAGGCCTACAACATGATGGTTTGGCTTATATACATTGTGAAATGTTAAGTCCATATTCTTTAATTCTTTAATAGTGGTATTAAAGAATGATATATAATGGTGCCCCTCCACAGCATACACATTTATTTTATATGTATACATATACACAGAATTAGGATAAGAAGTAGTTTTTACTGTTACTATGTATAGTCTATTCTGTTTTTTTTTTAATGTCGCCACCCAAGAAATTAATTTCATGACTCACTAATGAGCCTAAGCCTACTATTTACATAACTGCCTTGCACCTGGAGGTTATACACAGCCCCATAGGGGTGACAGCCATGCACCAGAGTAAGCGCCCAAAGCATTACTAGTGCTTGGCAGTCTCCAGATAGAGACATGAGAATAGCAAGGATCCTGCCTTCAAGACAGTTCAGAAAGGGGAGATACTCTAAGAAAAAGTTACAGGATAGGGTAGTTGGTGGGCCAGCAGAGATGGGGCACATTGTGCCCAGGGATTGGGGATAGCCTCAGAGAGGAAGAGAAATGTGAACTGGGGACCAGCAGGCAGATAAGGCTAAGAGCCCAGGCAGAGAGGACAGAATGTGCAAAGCCCACTCAGGGCATGTGCATTTGGGGAATGAGAACTAGTCTGGATGGCTGGGTGGGGATGTGGGCTACATACCAGGACTTTATCCTGGCTGCCATGTGGAAAGTAGACAGGGTAAGATTCAAGGCTAGTTAGGAAATCAGGCAAGAGATGGTGATGGATTTGAGCTGAGACAGTGGCAGTGGGTTGGAGAAGCAAGGGTGGGTTCACGGGCAGTTTCTGACATCAAACTGGGGGACCGGTTGGGAGAGAAGTTGAAGAGTCCAAGGTTTCAGCTTGAACAAAGGTATCTGATGGGGCTCCTATACCAGGTTGGGGAAGAACAAAAGGGTGGGGCCAGTTTGCAGAGAAGCAGTGAATTCTGTTCACAGGTGTTGCTTTCTTGGCATTCCAGCCCGTCCCTCCCACCTTATGATCATCCTACTTTGCAGATATATCATCTGGCTATAGTTGGGCCCTTTCCTACTCACTGGGGCTGGAGTTTGGTTTGCATAAGTCAGAGGACTCGTACTCATTTGACAGGAAAAGGCAAACTTGTGCCTTCCCAGCTTAATTGCTGGTAGTGAGGTGACTGCTTCTGAAACCAGTTTAGGATGGGCTCTTCTCTGGCATTGGCTTACCCATAGTTAAACATACATAAGCTTGTTTCATAACTGCAAGTCCCAGCCTCCTGCAGTGTGGCTGCCATTTCACTTTTTGAGACTAAAGCGTTCATACATTCATTCACTACACACTAAGTCCTCTCACCAAACGTCCTACTGGGGATGGGAGGTGACTGACACCACCCCTGCCCACAGGGGCCCCAAGTTTGGTGGGGTACACACATTACTGTATGTTCTTACCGCACTCAGATGGGTGCTATAAATGGCATCAGCTCATTTCTTGACTAGATTAATTAAACCCTCAGGAAACTGAAGAGGTGCCAAGACCTAGGTTCATTAACTATCCCACATCCTGTGATGTGCTGCCTCCCAGCTGGTTTTCCTCCTCTTGCTTTGCAGAAAATGGGAAGGAACCAGTGTCTTCATTTAACAGTTCATCTCTTTTTTTAAAAGGCCTTGAGGTAGCACACTGGCAGCAGGGGTCAAAGGGAAACAGTATCAAAGCTCTCATTCTCCATATTGTAGCGGAGAACTGGTGGCCATTCCCTGGCGGGAACAAGTTATTATCTAACACTTCAAAAGGCATTTCTTAGGATGCAGCTTTTTAAGGGCACAGTGATAGTGGAAGGGATGGTGTCCTCGGTGACACTTTGGCCACAGATGGTGGATAACTTTTCTTTGGACAGCCTCAGCCACTCTGAGTTCCAGCCAGGGAGGGTAGTTTTATGAGTGGATAAGCCAGTGCAAGTGGGGGTACAGTTTAGCTCTCCAAGGGCCTGAATGACTTGTCTTGACAATGGGTTTCATCCCCGGGCAAGTTCACTATGGATTCAATGTGACCAAACAAATGACAGTAAAATGTTCTTGGGGTGAAAGGGTTATACCAATTTTATTTCCACGGTGGCAGGTCAGTCACTAAAATCCCATTCACTCAGAACAAGTCTGCATGCAGCAAGCTGGTCTCTCTCTCTGGGCCTCTCGGCCCGCACAGCCATCCTCTGGCTCTGTCCTCCGTGCTGCCACCACTCCAGCCTCTGCTCTGCTCTCCTGCAGCCTTGCAGCTGTGCCACCACATCACCCAGAGCACTGGACGGAGCTCTTCATAGAGAGTCAATAACAACGCATTGCCTCACATGTGGGTAGTGAGCCAGCCAACCAGGGCCTGGTGAAAATCCTGGCCACAGGAACCTTCATTTTATCCACAGACTCATGGGCTTTAATGTCAAGTGCTGGAGGAGACAATGAATGCCACAGTGCCAGTACCATCATTCTGAGATGGACACTGGGGCCTAGACAGCAGACCAAAATGCCTGTGGGCCCCTGTAGCATGAATATTGTTCCAGGTTGTTGACCAGAGATGATGCCCTAATCTTGACACATCACAGGATGTATTAGCTGAGAAGCCAGAGGAAGGTATTTATCCCTTGCCACCCCTGACATAGACAATACATACACCACTTGGAGGTAGGCAAAGCCATGTGCTGGAGAAGCTAACATCTGTTCCCCATACCCTCCAATGCAGCCTCCTCCCCCACTGCAACCTGGGGCCAAGGGTGCTGAGAAGCCAACAGAGCAGCTGCAGGTTCCTTCTGCTCTGGGTGGGTGCAGGGGGTGTGTGAGGGCAGCTCCAGTCAGGTCCACCTGCACAGCACCCCTGCAGCTGAGCTTTTTTCCTTCTAGCGCTGCAAGCACAGCACCACTAGCTCAGCAAGCTAGAACACCTGAAAGAGATTACTTTTGTTTTTTCTTTTTAAAAGGTCACGCTAATCAAATAATTACTATATGAATTTGTATGCAGCAGTACTGGGTTGTTTTAAAGGGCTCACACCATTTTAGCCCCTTGCTCAAGGGACGGTGCTGGGATTTGGGGTGAGGGAGAATAGGGTTCTGGGTTCTTCACTGCATCTAAAGAAATGTCTGCTAGAAAGAAGCCCTTCCTCAGCTGTCCCCAGTGAAGTGGGCCTGCCTCTGAAGGTGACATCATCCCTAAGGGTTGCTGCCAGGCTGGCTGGCTGCTACTAGAAGGTAGAGATGCACTCTTTGCCTAGGAGGTCATACTAGATAACCTGAAGCTTTTGGGGTTCTGAGATAGGGAAGTTTCGGTTCCAGAAACTACTTTTTAAATAGCAAATGATCTTAAAACATTGTTCCTGGAATCTCTTATGTGTGGAACTGCAGTAACTTTAGGAAATGGAGTATTACATTCCTCTTCTAGGGAGTCACAATGCAGATGAAAGTATTAAAGAATTAAAAATTTCTTTACCTCAGTATTTCACAAACTTGATTAGCAATGGAATACATTTACACCCTGGTTCTCAAGTCTCGCTGTGCCCAGAGGTTCTAGTTTAATTGGGTTGAGCTCTGACATTATAGTATTGATTATAATTTCAGACTTAAACATGATACTTGACCACATTTGCTTCATCATTGTATAGGCATACTTTTTTCCTGAACTGTTTGTTGCAGACATGATGCCCCTTGACCTCTAAATGCATCAATGAGTATTTCTCCTAAAAACAAGACATTCTTATACAACCATGGTACATTTCTCTAAATCAGGGAATAATGCTGATATAAAGCTATTAACTAATCTGCGGATCTTACTCAAATTTCATCACTGTCCACTAATGTCCTTTGTAGCAAAAGAACATTTTTCTAGTGCAGGTTGCCATTACATTTAGTCTCCTTCAATCTAGAACTGTTCTCAGGCTGTCTGCCTTTGATGACTTTGCCATTTTGAGGATTATAGGTCAGTAATTTTGTAGAATGCCCCTCACTGTGGGGTTTGTCTGCTGTTTCCTCATGATTAGATTTAGGTTTTATGCTTCTGGTCATGTAGCATAAAATGTCCTCAGTCATCAGATTAGAAGACACAGATGCTGCCGCATTGGTTAAGGTCTCTTCCAGGTTTTCCAGTGTCAAGTGTTTGCTACTTTCCATTGTATAATAGTAAGTATTTTATATGTGACATACTCTGAGATTATGTAAATATCCTTTTTCACATCAGACTCACCAGCTGTGGTATCATTTTATGACTCTTGCCTAAAACAATTTTTGTTTTAAGCTCCCCCAGGGAATTCTGATGTCCAGCTAGGGTTGAGAACCACTCTAATAATCACAAGTGTTTAGCTTAGGACATGCTGCATGAAATCATGCCCTCCAAAGCCTGGCAGCAATTAACAGAGTTCCCTTTGGCCTTCTACCTTTTATCTCTCTGCTTTCCTGGCTGCTTGATTGTCCAGTGCTCAAAAGCCTGAGGTGGCTCTGGCTGAGCCCTCCATGCACCCTGTAGAAGCCACAGTGCTGAGAGCATGTCAGGCAAAGGGTTTGCCCCTCCCTGCTTTGGTTTGCCCAGTTCCTTCTGCCAAGGCTGCCCCTACCCTGGCTTTGGGCTTCTGCCTGATTAGCTCCACAGGAGACACACCCACTGGGACACCTGTGATGCTATAGTGTGTTATATTCTTATGTGTCCCTCCTGCTGAATGAAGGCTTCAGAACCACAGGGGCATTTACTCAAAGATTGCAAGAGGAATGGACTAGGGATTGGCCATCAGAGAAGAGAATCCATGACCGAAAATAGAGTCTGGGCCACTATTGCTGTTGAAATGTTCTTTGGGGGAGATCCCCGAAGGTCTAGGATAAAGCAGCCTTCCTCCAGCCTGATTGTTTCCTTCTGCCAAGTTGCTTGGGCCCAACACCCTGGGGCCCCCATAAACTAACTACAGAGGTGTATTGGGGCTGCAGCCTTTCAGGGTCACGTCCCCTCCACCCCAGTCCTGCTCTGAGCTGAGACAGCTCCCTGCCATCCTCATACTGTCTCCTTTTACATTCCCACTTGAGGCAGGCCCCGAATTTTAATTTCTGTCCTCCAATTGCAAGAGGTGGTTCAAGGCTGCCAGTACTGCAGCATTTCCTCAGGACCTGTCAGGTGCACTCAGGCAAAGGCAGCTCTCTGCTTTGCTTATACCTCTCTGGGCCCCTCCTAAGATACTTTGGCCTGCTACTTCTTACTCTTATTAGTCCTTTTATGCCTTAAAGATTAAAAAGCACATACTTACGGTTTATAGTTCTCAGTAGTGGCGTTACTCCGAATGACTCAGCCAGCTGTAACCTGAAATGCAGTCTGTCCTTTGTGCCTCATCCAGACCCTTCTCTTCCTCCTCCCACCCCCAGCATCCTCCGGAAAGCCCTAGATAAGATTGCGGAAATCAAGTCTCTGTTGGAAGAGAGGCGGATTGGTGAGTTGCAGACAAATTCGGCGATTCTTGACCAGGCAAAGCAGGCATTCCTGAGAGCAACAGTTGGGTCTCCTTGCAGGGCAGCCTGTAACCTCAGCCTGGTGTGATTATTCCACAGGCTGCTGACACAGGAGCACATCTAGACAGCCTGGGACCAGGAATGGAGTAGAGACTGTTCCCAGTGCTCTAAGGCAGGGCCTCCCCAGTTCTCCTTCCCACACCCATGTTTCTCTTCCTCCACTGCCTGGGGAAGTTGCCTCCCTCCTTCCTCCTACTCCAACCCCCATTTCTGCTGTGGTGAGAACCTGGCTGTTTTTGGGAGTCATACCCTGGTGGTCTTGAAGCCATCCTTTCAGGTGGAACTTACCCAGGGTGCTGGCTCCAAAGCCCTTCAGAGTGCCTGGCTCTCCCACTCTCAGGTCCCTTCACTGAGCCCACCATGGGCAGACTCCCCACTCGTCAGAAATGTCACATCACCAGCTGGGTCTGAATGAAATTGACTGGGTGTGCTGAGCCAAGCCTGAGAAAGTCATAGGTCTGTTCGTATTTGATTGTTTTTTTTCTTACTTTTTGCTGAATTAAACATATTAATAGGAAAGTACACATCAGTGTACAGCTCAATGAAATTTTCACTAAGTGAACAAATGATGTAACCGGCACCTCAGAACGCCCCTTCTGCCCTTTCTAAGTCCTCCATTACTGACATCTCACCATCGGTTAGTGTGGCCTGGCAGTCTCTCTCACTTTGGCATCTAGTGGAGGGGCCAGGGGTCACATCTGGGCCTTTGGTGCTGGCCCAGGAAGGGGGCTCCAGACTGAGCCCCTGACAGCTCAGGGCAGGTATGCTAGAGTGGGTCTGGGGGCACGTACCCTGTCCCTGGTGCCTCAGGCGCTTGCTTCCTTCCCACAGCGGCCAAGATTGCAGGCTTGTACAATGATTCGGAGCCCCCTCGGAAGACCATGCGCAGGGGGGTGCTGATGACCTTGCTGCAGCAGTCTGCCATGACCCTGCCCCTGTGGATCGGGAAGCCTGGCGACAAGTGAGGGCAGGCCCAGGGTTGGGGAACTAACTGGCAAGGGAGGGGCTGGGACTAACACTTTATTCCGCCCTCAGGCCCCCACCCCTCTGTGGGGCCATTCCGGCTTCTGGGGACTACGTGGCCAAACCTGGAGACAAGGTGGCCGCACGGGTAAAGGCTGTGGATGGGGATGAGCAGTGGATCCTGGCTGAGGTGGTCAGTTACAGCCATGCCACCAACAAGTGAGTGGATACCTTGCCCCTGGGCTGCCCCATCACCCATCTGCAGGAAGGGAGAAAAGCTCCCCCTGGGGTGCCTCTGGGGACAGGGGTGGTGTGTGAAGCAGTGGCTTCTGGGGCTGCTTACCTTCCCCATGGCTCCCTGGCTCAGACTGCACCTCCCCACCTCCACCTTTCCCATTGTTCACCCACAGGTACGAGGTAGATGACATTGATGAAGAAGGCAAAGAGTGAGTATGCTGGCCAGGGAGGGGCTGTGGAAGCCTGGGGTACAATCAGGCTGTTGGGAAGGAGCCCCCTTGGCCAGGGTTTGACCTAAGCGCCCCCCTCCAGGAGACACACCTTGAGCCGGCGGCGTATCATACCCCTGCCCCAGTGGAAGGCCAACCCTGAGACGGACCCTGAAGCCTTATTCCAGAAGGAGCAGCTCGTGCTGGCCCTGTATCCCCAGACCACCTGCTTCTACCGTGCTCTGATCCACACACCCCCGCAACGGGTAAGGCAGCCTCCATGGGAGAGACCATCCATGACAGCTGGGCTGGAAAGGTGCCCTATCCCTCTTTTCCTCATTGCCTCTCTGAACTATGTGGAGCATGATGCCCTCTCTCACACCCTGCCATGTAACCCCTCCAGCCCTGTTCCCAGCCTCTTCCCAGCCTTCAGAGCTGTCACCAGCACTAGGAGGACCAACGTGTCCTCAGGTCTGCCCTTGCTTTTGTGTTGACATGGGCAGTGGGAGTCCAGAGTCCCGAGACAGAAGCACAGTGCCTAGGGCCTGTCTTTAGCCCCAGGCTCTGCACTACTATCCCTTCTTGCCTGAGGCTACTCCCCCTCTACTAGAGAGAATATTGTTGGCACCCTAATCACCATCACCCACCCAGTGGTTTTAAGGCTGTTCTCCCTCTTCCTCCAGGATCTTTGCCTGCTGGCTTCTCAGTGGTCCTTGATCCCTTTAACGCAGGGTCCCTGAATGGCATCAGACCTGCTGGCAGTTACCCACCTGTGTAGCCAGTCTCCCTTTTCCCTGTTTTTTATCCCCTGACCTGGGCCCTTTGTTGCTAAGAAAAGATCAGGGACTCTGCTCAAACATCTAGACTTCTTGAGGGAAGATGAGGTCATGAAGGACTGGGAGCCCACTCACCAGAGGTTCCTGTCAGTCTAGGCCTGGGGGGCCTCGTCTGGGGGTCTCTAACCAGCCCCTCTGTTTGGCCCCTGCTGCAGCCCCAGGATGATTATTCAGTCCTGTTTGAAGACACCTCCTATGCAGATGGCTACTCCCCTCCCCTCAATGTGGCGCAGAGGTATGTGGTGGCTTGTAAGGAGCCCAAGAAAAAGTGAAGCAGGCTGGCAGACTGGCAATCTCCTGCCACCATTAAGGGGGAATAAAAAAAGATTTTGTGACCAAATAAATACTCTTTCCCCTGCCCATGTCTCCTGGGTTTTACTTGTCCAGACCTTCTTCCCCTTCCCATGTAGGGCAAGCTGAACCAGAGGCAGAGGGGGAGATGGCTTCCTTGGATCCCAGTGGACATTTACTCTTTTCAGCTCAGGTTTACTCTTGCCTCCCAATAGTGGCTCTCCATGTAACACAAATTGCATTTTATTTTGGAGGGCATAACCAGGCTTGTTGTACACCACTCATGGCTCTGAGCGGAAACTGAGGCTGCAGCCTGCCATCTTCTCAGCATAGTCGGTGTCAAAGTGCTCATTCTGGGCCACAGTGAAGGTGGTTTTCCAGTCCCCTGCAATGCCTGGGTAGGGAGGGAAGGAAGGAGGATGGAGGGCCCCTGTGGCACTGGGCTGGCTATAGCCGCTGCTTCCAGCCTGGCCTCCCCAAATGGCCATCCTGCATGGGCACTCACCTTTCCTCATGAAGGCGGAAATCTTGTGGTCCATGATGTCCAGGGGTATGGTGCTATAGTTGGTCATGGGGTTCTTCTGCATCTCCTGGAAAGATGTGTGCTGGACGATGCGATCCACAATCTCCTCTGGCAGGGAGTGCCCCACAAACTCCAGTATCTTATGAATTTCCCTCTTGGGGTTCTGGAGCAGCAGAGGGGCTCTTCAGTGGAGGTAGGGACTGTTCACTGAACAAACAAAAGGGAGGCCCCTCTCGAACCTCTCAGGGAGCTGGCCACTTTGACTTATAGAGGCCTCTCAGGCCCAGCTCCTTGACTCTGCTCCTCTCCCTGGGGCAAATTTAATTGTCTTCTGCCCTGGAATCGTATAATAAGCTGTGCTTGGGTCCTTATGGCTGAGAACAGACAGGGTCAGTCTTCTTTTGTAACTGTGGCCTTCAGAGAGAAGCAATAGCAGCAAATGGCTGATCAGTGGTGAGCATGTTGCTAACTCAGGTGCTGCCCAAGGTGGCCTTGCAGCTCTAATTCCTGGGCGGGGTGGGAGAGCTGAGAGGACTATTGTGAGGGCTGCACTAGGAGAAGGGGGCTGAAGGCCTTGGGGGACCCCATAAAGTCCCTGCCTCCCCACGTGTGACACGGAGGAAAGTGGCAGCAGGTGCTCTCACCTCTTTCATGTCCTCATAGAAGAGGTAAAGAACAGGGTGGGTATGACTCAGCTCCCACCACTCCTGCACATGCTGGTACCAGGACCCATAGGACACTGGGGCAGGAGGCACAGACACAAAGGTGGGGATTAGTTTTAGCCAGCTACCCCTCACTCTACCTCCCTCCTTCCCCCAGAGTCAGGCCTACCTTCCCCATCCATGAACTTCTCCAAGAAACTGTCCCAGGTGCCAGGTTCAGGATGAACTTTGGCCATGCGGTAGAAGTGGTAATAGGAGACAACTACGTCCTTTGCATTGCGGGCAACATAGACCACCTGAAGGAAGAGATGACCCCCACCCCCAGCATCACCACACAGCACACCAGGCAGTAGATATTCCACCCTTCACAGCAGCTTGGCAAGGGAAGAATTGGGCTTAGAGGCTGACTTGCTTATGGTGCCACGGGATGGGTGTGACTGACCTGATGCCAAAGTCCTGGCTGGTCCTTGGAACCACATTTTGTACTAATCTAATCCTCTTAGTGCCACCCACAACCAGATTTGGAATAAGATTGCCAGTTTCCCACCAGCCCCTTCCTCCTCAGGCCTATGGGCACTCAGACTCTGCTTTTCTCGGCTCTGCATAGGAGTCTCACTTTCACTGGTCGTTTGACCCCCCTCAGAGCATGAGGCAGATGGCCTCCCTACTTCAGGTGAGACTAGGCCTGAGAGAGTGAGCCTGGCCCAGAAGACAGGGCCAAAGCTGGCATGGCCCCATCAGCTTCCTTCCCTTTGTCACTCACCTTGACCTTCTGATCCAGCAGGGTCTGGGGGAGCAGGGCCAGGGGTAAGTGTGTCTTGAGGATCCGTGGCGGTGGCGTATCTTTCAGAACATCTAAACCTAAGCCAAAGGTTGGAAAAGTCTGCTGAGCTGGAGCCCCAGTCTTAGCTCCCAGCACTCCACTTGTACCCCATGCCTTGCCACACACCTGTGGGAATCCCTGGGGCCTTGAACTCAAGGAAGGGCACCCGGATAAAGATGGGGGCCCTGCGACACTTCTCTAGGTTGCCACCCTGGTAGATCATGTCCAGGATCTCACTCACCCATGTGGTGCCTGGAGAGGGAGGGAAGCGAGGTGAGCAGGGCCTGGGGCACACCCCTGCAGCCCAGGAGAGGAGTGGGTGTCCCTCATCACCTACCAGATTTGGGGTAGGTGCTGATGAGCAGGTCATCTGGCCGGGCTCGGAAGTTCTCCAGTGGCTCCAGTGCCTCTGCAAAGTACTTTATGAGAGGGACCCCCTTCACATACTTCAGTGGCGGGCGGGAGGTGTCCTGGACCAGCTCCATGCTGCAGAACGGGCCCGGTAAGTGTGGCCTGTTTACCTTAACATCACAACAACACTCTCTGTTGAAATCATGCTTTGTGTCAAGATGAGGAACAGGCTGAGGGAGGCTGAGCAAACTTGCCCGTACTCATGAAGCCAGTGATTAGTAGAGCTGCTCGTGCCTTTGATTTGCCTGCAAACCTTTTAAAAATTGCAGTGCCATACCCCAAACCAATTAAATCGCTGTCTGGCAGTGGGCCCAGGTAATGTTTTTGGAAGCTCTCCAGGAAATTCCAGTGTACACTTGAGAAAACTACTATTCTAGGGCCTACCAGTTTTCTTTCTCTTAGGACTTCCTGGGCACTCCCTGTTGTCCCCTCCTTGAACTCCCTAGGCCCCTCACATACAGAAACCTCCCAAAGGCCTGTGATCCTGCTTGCCCAGCCACATTTCCCTGAGGTTCAGGGATAAAAACCGCCAACTGAGCAACTGAGCATGTTCTTTGGGGACCAGAGTCTGGTATGTGAATGAGCAAAACTGTGATGACTCATTGGAAGAAGGGAGGGAGGGGGCTTCCAGTCAGATCGAGATGGGCTATCCTTGGGAAAGGGCAGGACATTAAAGGTAGGAGCAGAGAGATGGACAGGGTGTGGGAGGTCTGGCCCATCCCCCCCCCCCCCCCCCGCCCCCGGCACTGACCTCTCTGGATCTTGGCCTTGTGACCACCTGTGCTGTGGCTGAGTGTGGGTGCGGCGTGGTGAGTGCAGAACTGCTCTGAGCCGAAGGTTTTGTAGGTCCAAAGTGGGAGGGATCTGAAAACCAGGACTGGGACTTGGCTGTCCTTCAGGAAGGAAAGGGTGGAGTTTAGGGGTGGGAGGGCCCCTCTCTGCTCCCGTGGTCACCCCAGCTGACTCATGCTTAGGCCGGTCTGAACCAAGGTGTGGGCTTAGCATATAAAACAACAGAAGAAAGACTGAAACTAGACAAAAAGGCCCAATAGTTCTCTGGGGTTTTTTGAGCTGTAATTCTGGCTCCTGACCTGCTGTCTCTACTCTACCCTCTGCAGGACAGGTCAACAGATAACTTTTTCCAATGAACCTGGTGCAAAGAAGGCAGAGTGGAGGGGAAAGGTAGGACACTCACCTTCCTGCTAGCTCCAGGCCAGCCTTAGAGCTGCCAAGGGTTCAGGTCCAGGGTGGTCTGGAGGCCTCAGGCGTTCCAGGAACTGCTGACTCTGACCACAGGCCAGTCCAGAGCCATGTAGGTAGGCAGGCTGTAATGGGAACTGGGACAGAGGAGAGCAGGCAGGCTCTTTTTGAGGCAGCATAGCATTTGAAAGAGCAAGAGCACTGGATCTACCCTGAGAATGAGCCTGGCTCCATGCCACCCGGGACTTCATGGAGACTCACTTGTGGCTGGTGAAAAAACAATGGCCCCCAGAAGGTGCTTCTCCCCCACCCCCACTCCCTCACCTCAACCCTAGGTTTGAAAGGAGTGCTGTAGACAAAGAAGAGGACTTGGGGCTTGGAGAGCCACAGGGCCCCATGGAAGGAGATCCTCCTCCCATCTCCCCTGTGACCTTTGTCCTATTTGTATTAAAGTCCAAAGTCAAGCTGGGCACCACATGTGGATGGGCTCTGAGTCAAGGGTGTGAGTCTTCCAAGCACTCAAAGGAATTGTGTGACCTCAGGGACATGCTGGGGAAAGCTCAGGCAGAGGGGAGGCTGGTCTATGCTGGGGCTAGAGCCCTCCAAGTGTCCCACCCCCTCCCACCCTATCCCTCCCCTGTTCTCTGGAGGCCTCAGAGACTGACAGGGCCTCTGCCTCCCAGCTCCACCACCCAGCAATCACTAGACAGTACCCTTAACTCAGACTTTTTATTGTGCTCAAGTAAAAACTTCCGAGACCCACAGGGGGTGGCACAGAAGTGTGTGGAGGGTTGGGGATACTGAGGATCAGGTCTCCAGCAAGTCTGTCCAGTGTTCCTGTGGAGACAAGAGGGCTGGTTGGTCGAAGGCAGTCTAAGGAATGGGGTAGAGTAGGGACGCTACAGCCAAAGCCACCTCTCACCTCTTCTAATTCAAGGTCCTCCTCTTCCTCCTTGGTGCCCATGTGGTACAGCCAGATCAGGTCTCCCCACAGCAGTGAGTTCTTACAACTACCAGGGATGTGGTTGGTAGAAGACACAGAGTCAAGATCACAAGCGTCCTCCAGGCTAGGCTCTGGGGCAGCAAGATGAGGACTCAGCTGCCCCGGGCCTGGACTTGGACAACTGGGCACCATCTTCCCAGAGCTAGACCAGGATGGGGTCGGTGTGCTGGACTCACCCGGGGCACTGGCCCTCCAGGGGCAGAAGCTGCCCTGGCTCCTCTTGTAGGAACTCCCCTGCCAGGCAGATCATATGGGCTCTTAGGGAGCAGCCAGCATAGGGGCAACAGAGGGGGCCCTCTTCATCCTGTCAGGGTGGCAGGCAGGTAAGAGAGAAAATGGGTAGTAAATGATGTAGCTAATACTCATAAAAAATATCTATGGATCAAACCCTGCCCCAAGGGCTTTACATAAAAGAACCCTATGAGGCACATATTACTATTTGCATTTTATACATGAGGAAACAGGCACAGAGAAGTTAAAATGCTTACCCATTGGCACTGAGCTGGCCAGTTTTCCCTGGGCCTTAGCAGTGATTATGTAACAGCATGGCCACTGAGGCCAGCCCTAGAGTTCCTTACAGGCTGATGATCCCAGGCAGGCCACTGAATCTCTGTATCCACCCACTCAACTTAGATTTACTGAGAGCTCAGTAGGACTTAGACCCACCATTTCAGTTAATTTATTAAATATTTATCAGCCACCTCCTCTGTGGCAAACCCTGTTTACAGTAGTGAACAAGAACTGCCCTTGAGGAGTTTAGTATGGAGGATAGAAGAGGCTGGTAAGATTTAAATAAAATATACAGCTCTTCCTTCACTTAAAATCAGATTACCTCCTGATAAACCCCATCGTAAATTGAAAATATTTTAAATAAAAAGTGCATTTAATACCTAACTTACCAAACATCATAGCTTAGTCTAGCCTACCTTAAATGTGCTCAGAACACTTACATTATTAGCCTACAGTTGGGCAAAATCATCTAGACAGCCTTTTTTACAGTAAAGTGTTGTGTATCTCACCTAACTTACTGAATACTGCACAGAAAATGAATAACAGTGGTTGAATGGGTACTGAATGATATTTAAGTAGGCTCAAGACCCAGTGGCTGACTTGGAGTTACAGCTGACTGCTGCTGCTCAGCTTCACAAGAGAATGACTTTATCACTTGGCCAGGAAAAGCCCAAAATTACTGTATGTGTATTGCTTTCACAACATCGTGAAGCCCAAAAATCGTTAAGATGGGGTGGGAATCATCTGTATGTCAGACAAAAGTATTAAGGTTTTTATAAAAAAAGGCAGGGACATGCACAAGAAAGTTGCAATTTTAGATGGAAAGCCAAAGACCTCGTAAAGAAGGTATCATTTATTAAGACTGAAGGTCTAGGGAAGAACCTTCCGGTCAAAGGCCCTTAACAGAAGGTTACTGGTATTGAGGAGGGGCTCCAAGTACTACCATCCCCATTTTGCAGATGAGGGCAGTGTCCAAAGGGTCACTGCACAGCCTCATCCCTCAATAAATAGCTTGGTCCTAAGTCCTCCGGACCCTAGACGCCCTGCTACCTGCGGAACCAGGTGGAGTATCTCACCTTGAGCACACGCCCACACACGGAGCAACAGGCCTCAGGGGCCTGGTCCGGCTCGGACTGTGTGTCAGCAAAGGGAACTGCAGGGCGCCTCGGAGCAGAAGCCCGGGGAGGCAGAGGCCCAAAGGCTAGGGGCACGTGCGGCGGCGGCGGCGGGCAGAGATCACGGGAGAAGTCGGCGCGCAACCAGCGCAGGGTGAGCGGTAGGCGAGCCCAGGGCGGCGCGCGCAGCATGTGCGCAAGCACGCGCAGGTGGAAAGCAAAGGCGGCCTCGGCACGTAGGCGCGGACCCACGTGCGCCAGGCGGCGCGAGGCGTGCGGGTGCTGCCAGGCCCACTCGAACTGCAGAAAAGAGTATGAGGCTTCGGGGCCGCCCCAGGAAGGCCCCAAGGCCCAGCCAGTCCTCCCTCTGCCCCTGCTCCTTTCTTACCCGAAGGGCGGCCACGGCAGAAGGGAAGCCGTGCACGATGAGCACCATCTCCCTGGGGAAAAGAACGAGGGCGCAGCCTCTGAGTCCTCAACTCCACCCCCATGTCAAGCTGAATGCCCTCGTCTTGGTTCGCCTCCTGTCCTACCCTAGCGTGGAGTCCTCACACCCAGTTTCAAGCTAGCCCACGAAGCCGTGCTCGTATCTGCCAACCTCTGGCACCGCTTCCTACACAGGTACGCCCTACCTAGTTCCTCTGCCTTTCAGGTTCCCTCTATCCCAAAGCCAGCCTCGCTCACTAGCCATCAGTCGCTGGCCCAAGCCCAGATCATCAGTCGCTTTCCTACCCAGCCCCCACCTCTGAGTACAACCACAGAGTAGCACAGGACTCTGTCTCCCCTTCAGGTTCCTCCCCTGCCGGAGGCCCGCCCTCGTCACTAGGATCCCTCCTCCAACCCTGCTTATCTGCCCCACCCGGTCCCACCCACTATCACCGGCCTGGTCCCGCCTCCATCAGGCCTCTCCTCCGCCGGGCCCCGCCTCTGGCTTGTAGTCCTTTAGACCGTGATCAGCTAACCCCTCTTACCAAGGTCCGCGCCCGCTTGTCCTGCAAGCCCCGCCTTTCTTGCGACCCCCGTTGTGCTGCTGGACCCGACGAGCAGGGTTGACGGTAAACCCCACATAAACGCCGCCCCGGTGCCGAGGGTTTAGGCAATAGAGCAGATAGACGCCGAAAAAGCGCCCGGGTCTCGCCGCGCCCTTTGCGGGGTCCATCAGGACTTGTGGGTTGATTCCTGTGGCCTATGACTTCAGGGACAGCTATGTTGCCAAGGTCGAAAGATGACTGTCTCGGGAAAAGCGCTTAGGGGCGATCCCGGGGTACTCTAATGGTCACAGCAGAGGCCCTCTCCTGGCTGGAGTTAGGGCCTACAAACCGACCCACACAACCCAGGCTGCTGTGCAGGCGGCGAGCACCAATTAGCATCCGCTTGGGTACATTTCGTCTTTATGCAGACTCTGATTGGCTGACTGATAGTAAGCGCGAAAAACCTAAACTGTTGAAAAGCCGGGCTTGCGTGAGGGCGGAAGTGCTGGGCCCATGAACGCCTTAGTAAGGGCGGAAGTAGAGGCCTCAGCGGAAGTGGCCGCAGTAAGGGCGGAAGCAGTGTGGCTGAGGTCTGAACTGTTTCCTTCCCGTCTGGGCTGCCGCCCACGCTGGGCAGCAGCGATGGAACTCAGTGCCCAGTACCTACGGGAGAAACTGCAGCGAGACTTGGAGGCCGAGCTCGTGGTGAGTTAGCTGCCCAGATCCGCCAGTCTAAGGGGAAAGGGCTCCTGGGAGTGGGAGGAGGGAAAGAGCATCATCCACACCATTCTGCCCCACAGGAAGTGGAGGACACGACTCCTAATCGTTGCGCGTCCAGCTTCCGAGTTCTCGTGGTCTCATCAAAGTTCGAGGGGAAGCCGCTGCTTCAGAGACACCGGTGAGATTCTGGCACACCTCGTACAGTGTGGTCACAGCTCCGGGACCATAACCCCGGCCACTCCCCGCAACCTAACGTCCTCAACCCCGCCAATACTGCCCAGTATCATGGCCCACGACCCCAAGGATCCCGCCTTCGCGTCCCCTGCTTCGAGTGTTGACACTTAGACTACCTTTCTTGTACCCAGGACCCAGGAAATATACCTGGGGGAGACATCGCCAGCCTCCCTGGCCACCCTAGCTTTGGGGATTGCAACTCAGTCCTGGCCTGCCATTTGCTAACCCTCTTTCTCCCGCAGGCTGGTGAACACGTGCCTAGCGGAAGAACTCCTACACATCCATGCTTTTGAGCAGAAAACCCTGACCCCAGAACAGTGGGCCCGTGAGCAGCAGAAATGAGGGACCACAATCTGCACAGCCATTAAATTTTATGAAACAGGGCCAGCTTCTGTGTCATTGTGTTATGGGTTGAGAAGCAGGAAGGGCTGAGTCCAGTGCCCGGATTCTCCCTGCCCTGCCAACTCTCCGTTGTTTTAAGTTGGTCAAGTCCCTGTCCACCTTCTGAGTTCCCACTTACAAAATGAAATTGTATCCTTAAAATCCCTTCCAGAGTGGGCCTCACAGGCTTCTGTAATTCTTGGTAGACCCCTAGGAGTACTGCCTCCAGCCACTCAACCCACCCATTTGTTGATCATTGCTGTGAGTTCCTGCCCTCTGGCAGCTTTCAAGATACAGAGATGAGAAAGTACTTAGTGTTTCAGAGTGTTGGCCAATTGAACAAAACATTCCCTTTCCTCCCCTACACCCAGTGTCAGAGACATAATAGAGGATTCCATACATCTCTGCAGGCTTCCCCCAGCCCTTTACAGCCTCTGGAACTTGGTATCCCAATAGGGGCTGCCCAACACTTAGAATGCTGATGCTTCCTGACCCACTGGAGAAGGTCCAGTGACCCTTTAGCCCTAGACTTGATATGGCCACCACCACCTCTGGGGCAGACCATTAAGTTTTCAGGAATGGAGTTGTTGGTAGGGAAATAGGGATAGGATTAGAGCAGGAAAATAAGACCACCTGAGCCACAAAATTGAGGCAGGTGATTCCCCTAGTATCGGTTTTAAACACGGGAGCCAAAGTTGGTAAGGCCTTGCACAGATGAGGTCCCTGAGGCCCAGAAGGGATAGCAAGTGACCTGGTTGGGGCCAGGGCTCTTTGGGAGGGAGAAATTGTAGGTTTCAACCAACCCACCCACCCTCTTCTCCTGTTTTCAAGGCCATACCTCCACCTTGCCCCACTATCTCCCTCTCTTACTCCTATCAGAGGGATAGTGGGCAGATAAAGCTGGAAGTCAGGGTGATGACGGGTTAACCCTTCTGAGTTCCAGGAGTCATTTCCTGAACTTACTGTCAGTTCCCCTCAGCCAGGAGGAGAATGAGTGACTACGTCAACTCAAGTTCACTTCCCTGTAAAGGCCCATCACCACCTTTGTGCAGGAGGGGCTCGGAGAAGGAACTTCACCTCTTTAAGAGGCCCAGGCTTCAGATTTTTTATTCTGTCTTTATCACAGCCCTGATTGGATTCCCTCAATGTGTTCACAGAGTTGTGATGGTGGCCCTCCCCATTGTATTCATAGGCAGCTGAGGCCTGGAGAGAAGTGCCTTGCCCAGGGTCACATGGCTTGCATAAAGGGTGGGACTGAATTGGGCAGATGGGGACAAGTGTACAGCTGCCTCATGGGGCTCTCTACCCAGCGCTGGCATCCAGCAGAGGGAGGAACTTGTAAGTGGAGCATTTAGTCCTTACTAAGGCCCCTGAATGGTAGGAATGAAGCCCCACTATGATCTGGAGCCCCATCCCTAATATCCCTGTGCCCTAGCTCAAGGGTCACTTGCAAAGTCAGGCATCAGAAACCCACTCCTAAGCTCCCACTTGATAGGGCCAGACAGATCCCACCGTACAGTACTGGGCTTAAGAGGCAGCCACACTGGGACAAAAGCACCCTGAACTGAAAAGGGAGACTTAGGTCATGACTCAGGACCTACCCATCAGCAAGCCTCTCCCCTGCTCTGTGCCTCAGTTTCCTCACTAAGAGTGCTTAAGCCACACCAACCTGTAAACCAGGGTTGTACTGTTGCTCTTGTTTGAAGCTTTTTCCTCACAAAAGAGCCCCTTGGACCTATAGTTTGAAAGATGTCATGTAAATGGTAGTTACTATCACTATAGTTGCATGCAACCTGATGTGGTTGACTAAGAAAGTCAAATTTTGGGTAATCCTATTTGATCAATAAATAGGAGAGATGCCCT